TGTTCCCCTAAACTTCCTCTAAAATGATCTTCATTTTTTTGTTTTTTTTTTTTTTTAAAGGAAAATGAGACAAGAAATCTGTTTAAAATTGCAAGATAGAAATGAAATTTCATGTGCAAACACATTGTAAACCCCCATATCAACAAAATTAGTTTTTCCTTTCAACTGCTTGTCAAAATCAGAGTAAAAATTTCTTCACTTACAAAACGTAGGATAGACTACAAACTCCTAAAGCAAGAGGATGTGCTGTTCACGTGATAGTGGCAATTTCATTAAACTTCTCTATGAGAAGAGAAGGCTCCTGAACTCTGTTTTTTTTGTGATTGTTAGCAATTTTTCTCTCTGAAATTTTCTTTCTATGAAGTGAGGCACCAGTATCCAAACCCCAGATGATTCAAAACGTTTAAATATCAGCAGAAGCCCCTGGCTGAGAGTGCAGGCCAATTAAATACCTGCTCACAGGGCCTCATCTTTGACTCACCTCAAAAGGAAATTCACTGTCAAGTGGCACATTCACCTACTCCTCAGTCTCCCCTGAGAGAACAGCTGGGGAACACCACAACTGCAGTGTCTAGACCATGAGTATTTGATTTTCTAGGAGCCTGAATCACAACTCACTTCACAGAGGAAACTGAAACAAATCTTACATCTGTGGCTTTTTAGTAGGGCCAAATTTGAACCTGGAACCTGACATGGAGCCATGTTTTATTGTTATTTTCCGCAAGCACCCCAATTTGTTATGAAAAGATCAAAACCTGTACTGGAGTTAAGGCTTTTTCAAGTTTTTCCTTTTAAAAATCTCCAAATTCATTCAGCCTAGTCTTTAAATGTGGAGCTGTTAAGCAGAGAGTTGCTTCCTTGTGTTCTACCCCTCTACAGAACTTGATTATATTTCATTGTGCAGCCTGAGGCTGGGATCCAAAGAAAATGACAAATTATAATGTGTCCTGAATTCCTACTGAAACAGCTTGGCTCGGTGTCCAACTGAATTAATTTCATGGCCATACGCTATCTAGGATGATGTAAACAAGTCAGAGCAGCAGGAGGAGTCATCTAAGTAGCAATCCCTGCCTGGAGGCCAGAAAAAGCTCACTGTTGATGAACAAGTAAGGGCATAAATAAAAAGCTATTACTTTCCCAGAAAATTTCATTCCTCCTCCACAAATTAATTTTTTATGAATTTTCAGATGTCCCATGCACTGGATGCATTTTCTCTGCTGCTCTTTCTTACTTTGAATACATACAGCACCTATGATTCCACATATTGCTACTCCACAAAGAGCTCTTTGGCTAGCACTTTTCCGTCAACGTGTACTCCTCAATTTTCTGAATGTTTATAATTCAAACTCATATTAGCGCAGACACTGCACTGATGAGAGAAAGCTAATCTGACTTTATTGGAAAATCAAGTAAATGAGGGGGCAGGAGTTACGCCTGTTGAAACCTGCCATGTTGGAGATTATCATCAGTGACAGAAACCTTAAAAAATTTAGACGATGAAGTAAGATCGAAAATTTAGTAAGATGAAGATGCAGCTTGTGGGTACGGGATGGAGAATACAGTAATCCAGCGAGACTGGAGCACTGTGAGAATGTAAGAGTCTCTGGTTTTATTTGAGTGATGAAGTAGAGAAAAGCTGTAGGGTGTTAAAACTCGTTCCTAACCAAATATGTTCAAGCCTTCAGAATGATTTAGATTTTGCTTGAAAGGTAATTAAGTTCAAGTTTTTTTTTAACTTTAACACAGACTTTTCATCCTTTAATAGCAAGAAAAATTAGCAACTGGCATAATCTATGAAGCAGATGGATCACGCTCTTGATTCAAAATTAGGTGTAAATCAACCAGATACTATAGTTTAATCTTTTGGGTGAAATTCGAGACATATATTCTAGAAGACACAAGCATAGAAGTCTACTCTGGTATGTATGGACCTTTAGCAAATGGAGGAGGAAATCTCAGAAGGCAAAAAGACCATCTACTCAAAGAACTTAAAGAAGCACATGAATCTTAAACATGAGTTTGTTTCAATGGCTGCCTCTACGCTAGCAAAACTGGTCTGCCAAATTCTACCAGAAATGAAGCATAAAAAGGGAAAATACTTCTCAACACAGTCAACAAAGAGTTATCGTGTAATGCCAGAAGGCTTTGCTGAGTTCAGAACTGCCAGAGGTTACAATTTGTTGCTAGAGGTACAGCTTTTGATCAAGAAAGAAGCGAAAGGATTAGTCTATGCAAGACAGGAACCTTAAGAGAGCACTGCATGGCAACAGGTGGCTACTTCATCATTTTGCTTGCAGGGAGACTCTGCTGGGCTGTATCTATCACTAGGACATAAATGAGTCCAGTGGTTTCTTCATGCATTTTTGCCTGGAAAGTAAACTGGCCCCTGTAGAATTAATTATCTATGCTTTTTTGGTCACTTGCTCATGTTATCACAAATTCAAACTTTATAGGTTCCTATTCTAGCTGCCATCTGGTCTTTTGACAAATGTGTGCATGCACTCCTCCAGCCACATGGCACAGCCTGAGTTACTCCTTTCATGAATCAGATACTAATCTTCCTTATCTCACCTGGCAATGTGTTTAACATCTTTAAATATTCAATGAGGCAAAGAGTGAAAATTACCCTATAACCCAGTGGTTATGAGATTTATTTGAATGATGGAGGACATTACTTTCAGTCCTTATTCCAGGTAAAATTTATAAAATGTGGAAGAGCAACCTCAGGAGGGAGTTGAGTAACCCTTTTTCTTCTGAACTAGACCAGAACTCCAGACCACAATCTTGGAAACTCTCCATGGAAGTAGGAAATATGGGTTCAAATTCACTTAGGCAGAAGAAAGAATCAGTCCTGGGTTTGTCATATCCTGGGTGAATCCTCTAAGTTCTGGGTCTCTAGAGAATAAATATACTATCAGCACCTCCATTCTTTTTATTTTTTTTTTAATATATCTATTACTTTCCTAACATGCTTTAACTGATTAACCAATATTTTTCCAGGCTGAAATTTTTTGGTGAATTTGAGACAGAAAGTAAAATAAGTAAAAAAAGTAAAATACTTTGTAAAAGTAAAATACTTTTGGACTAGCCAAAAGCACATGCACTTTTTTTTCAGTAAATCTTCTATTTTTGCCCAGACTTGCTGTCCTGCAACAAAAGATTACTGAACCAAAATCCAAGATATTGTTAACTAAAAAGAGAAGTACAAAACTACTAAAACAAATTCGCCCTTTCTGTCAAGCAGAGCTCTGTCAATCTATATTAGTAAATAAATCGGGTTTTCATCTCTGTCTTGTGCCATACCAGATATATTACATACCTGATTCTCTGCTACAATAAGAGGAAGTATGTTAGTTTTTTGCAGTGAGTTATAATCCATAAAAGCATGAATTTACTAGCAAAGACATAAGAAGACCACTATCTGAAGTCTTAATGTGTGCCTGCAAAGTATGCTTCTGCAAAGCAATTTCCAGTGTGGCACTTCCATCAGTCTGTTAAATCTGTACGTCTGATCCCAAATCAACACAGTTCGGCATCTAATTCCACATCTGCCTCTTTGAAGCTGTCTTTTGCTCCTGCAAGAATATTTGATTATGACTCAAACAGCAACATGGTTTTCTCTAGGGGTCATCCCTCTCTGATTTTATACTCTCTACACAGACTAATTGGTTGCACGCAGAACAAGCAGCGTGACATTTCGTTGGCCATTAATAAGTAAAGTGATGTTAACAAACAGCTGGCGTTAAGCAGATTTTTTTCAGTTAAGAAGGGAGCAAAAATCAAATGAATAGGAAGAAAAAAAACCAAGAAAAAAAAATACCAGTACCTGCACAGCTAAAAGACTGTGAAAGGAAAAAAAAAAACCCAACATCTCCATGAAGCTCAGAGATAGAAGCCTTTGCTTAATGGTAATTTTAAAAGGTCTCCCCTCCATTTTGAGCATGGCTATATCTTTTTCTGACAGCTCTTTTGTGTAAGCAGAAGCATTTGGGAAACCCCTTTCTCTGCTTTATATATCTGAATCACTTTTTGCCACACTTGCAGAAAGCTGATGAAAACATCCGCGTTGCTCAGGAGCAAAATGACAACTGAAATGCTGAAATATGACATGTTTTGTGTTGGGCTGCCATGCAGATGTAACTGACATCTAAAACATCAGATCATTTCTCTGTTTTGTGTAAGAAGTCTTATGCCAACAATATTCAACGCAGTAAAAAGGCAAAAGCAGAGAAATCAGGCATAGAACTGAGCAGGCTTGCAAGTGGATAAGCAGACATACCCACAACTCGAGCTCTTGCTAAGGCAAGCCAGTCTTTTTTGTTGCTTGGGTTGAAGACGGTGCTTATCAGGCCTTGTGGCTAGGAGTAAGCACTCTCCTTCCCAGTACCTGTGGCTGAAAACAAGCCGTGCGGTCTTCTCCTCAAGGTAGGGAGTGATGCTCTGCTAAACAGGCGGTTAAACATGTTCTGCTTTTTACATTTTCTCATTTACATTCTCAGAACATTCTTTGCTGACACAACTGTAAGTGCTATACTGCTTTATGCAAATAGCTACAGATGAATGCTGCACGGAGGGGGAAAAGGCAACCAAACCAACCCCTGTGGATAGCGTATGTGAGAGAGGGATTGGTCACTTTACCAACTGGCTCACCATGGGATACAGGGTGACAGTTAGGGACAACAGCAGAGCCAGCCTCCTGATATGTGAATATGGATGAGATGCCAGCCACAGGTGCACCTGATGTTTGAAAATAACAGGTAAGCATGTTCCTCCAGGCCTGCCCCATCCTATGGTGGTATTTAGTTTACATCCATGATTGGTACCACTTCACCTTGTGAGCTCTGCTGTTCCCACTGGCATAGACAGGATTACCTTCACAAGGCAGAGCCGTTTATAGCAGAAAGACACAACAGTGTATCTGGACATATAGTTGATGGTAAATCATATGTCTCTCTACTTCCAATGAAATGAAAATGCATTCAACCTACTTATTATTGTAATTTACTATTTTTTTTAATTAAAGTGTAGAACAAAATAGAAATACCATTATGAAGTTTTAAAGCTCTAATTTAAAGCTCTTAGTCAAAAAGAAGGTTTCAGTACTACTAATATGAAGCATTATTGGCTCTAAGGAGCTGCAAGTCCGCAGTGATGACACTGTTCCTATGAAAGTGAATTTAACGTTCACTGAGTGTGTGTCACTAATGAATATAATTTCAAATTGTAACAACGTCTAACATGATGGAGTGTATCATTTCAAGCTTTTAACTAGTTTACTGGAGGATCCCCAGTCAAACCACTCTTCTCCACACCAATAAAATCTGTTACTCTATTTTTTTGTTAGCAGCAAAGAACTGGAATTTGCTAGAAGTTGTGTGTCACTCTTATGTTAAGTTTACAAAAAACAGCAAAGGTCTGTTAGTCTAGACATCACCTGTATCAACACAGCTTGTTTGAGTTACCTTACCCCGATTCTTCCCTGCTCTAGCTGTCACATATGAAAGCTAAACTGAGAATAATCGCCTCTTCCATTCCAAAGGCTTTTGCTGGGACTGGTATTGTGGTCAGGGAACACATTTTTTGCATACCAAATCAATGCAGCTCTGTCGACAAAAGTCCTTAGGCTAGATCAGCTGTGACACATACACTTTAAATTGGTAAATGATGAACTCTCAATGATTATTTTTCTTGGTGTATTTGCCCTGTGGATAACCATACAGCTGACAATCCACCACTCCTAACTGTCTATAGCCTGGCAAAGGGGAAGATGCTGGAGGTAGAACATGTAGAGGTATAGAAAAAGGGATAAGGCATCTTCAAGATGGTTAAAGGAAGGTCCTAAAGCATCTAGGTTACACAGCACAATCACAAAGTATTCAGGCACGGCAAATTTTCAGAAAACTCAGGCTGCTATCTATCTTCTGCTGTATTTTATTAGACTACTGACTGCTGAAGAGAAGATAGAAAACAAGAGGAATTACAAAGACACAGGCGTTGGTCAAAGGCAAGCTACTGGCTCTACTCATTTTTCATCTTAGAAGTTTTCTTCTTCCTCTCCCTTCTGCCATATGCTGTGCTACATTTTGATTAAAAGCTCTAACAAACTACACATTTCATAATTCTGTAAGGCATCTAACTATTCAGGCTATACTTCCTTTGCATTTTTGATCAGGACTTTGGAAGAGATGAAACACTGCGAGCATCTTAAGAAGCTGCTGCAGAACTAATGCAGGCAAGTACAGGAAAATACCAAATGGTCTTGCTCCAGGCAGACATCCAGAGAAACTGCATGTTATGGAGGGTACTGGTCTTTCGATAGTACCAAATTAGTCTATTAGTGCTAAAGCCGCAGGCATTAAAATTCAAAACAATCAATGCTTTTGGAAAAGGAGGATGCAGCCTGGGGGTTTGGATTACTCACTGCACATGTCTCCCTCATCTTCTCCCTCGGCGCAGTCCCTGATGAAGTCACACGCCTGCCCCAGCCTGATCGCCGTTCCATTCCAGCAGCTGAAGGAACCCTCCAGAGCCATTTTTGAGCCAGAAGCAGGTCCTAGAGAAAAAGAAAACAAAAACCACTTCAGATTACCGAATTGCCTTCCTCTCAACCAACAGGTCATAGGATCCTGGATAACAATGAAGCGGAGAACACCTTGTGAAATCCCCTCAATCCAAAAATTACTTGATAAAGTAATTATTTTATTTTGCTTGACCTGTTTAGTCTTCTCAAATATCTAACGGTCCACCTAACAGAGCACTTCACTTCCCCAGGCATTTCTGGTGTTTTAACTTGGAAGGCATCCTTGACCCTTGAAAAGAGGGTTGAAATCCTGCAGCCTGCTCTGTGGTAGTTCTCAAGAACACCACAATACGCATGACAGATTTTTAATTGTATGTGAACTTACTGGTAGACTGACAGTCCTGAAGACTGGCATCCTCTCTGTCTAGTTCAGGAATAACATGGCTACATGGTTTGGAAAGAACACAAGCTTTCATCATACCCTCCTGTCGATATGTTATTACCTATGACTTGGATGTATCACGTTGTCATGTTCTCTCTGCAAGAGAGAAAACAGTCTGATCTCCGCTCGTAGTTTTCTTTCTCTTCCATACCCACTCCTGCTCCTGCATCCTGCACTCCCCTCCCCTTGAGTCAGGGAGCCCACAGCAGACTCCATCTACCAAGATATAAAAATCACTAATGCATTTTACCTATGCTAAGCAGCAGAAGGCAGCTAGCAATGTGGAAAGGAGCCAACTCTTACGAAATGAGGTCACTGAACATTAAGATTATTTCTGAATGGATGATTGCGAGTACTTGTCCCTTAGCACCATCCTTTTCGGGAGGCACTTGATTCCCTTGACAGCTGAGAAGTCAGAGATCATTCAGTCTGATGGGTATCATTTTCCTTACTGTAGGAATTCTCTCATCCTGAGGTCTCTGACTGTAGCCAAGTGAGATACTTAAAAAAAAGAAAAAAAAGGACTTGCCCTAAGAGACACATGCTCTAGGTCACCTGGAGGATGCGGGAATGAGTTCAGCAACATCCTACAGTCAGTACGTACGGAGCAGGCCAAGCTTGAAAAGTGCAAGAGCCCCTTCCACAAAAATCTGGGTGTAGATAAAATTCACCGAAACCTTCCTGACTCTCTGCAGAGATGCGCTTCCAGTTCACTACTCCTAGAAGGCAAGCCTAGAAGTACGAAGAGCTCTGTGCTGTGAATTCCCCACTGCAAGAACTCCTGCCCCGTCTCATATTAAATGGGTAAACGCTCAAGATTAAACCAAAGCCTCTGGGCAGAGTGAGCCATTGTTTGCCTAACTCATCCGTGCTTGCTAAACAGCACAGCTACATCATGTTCTCCGGTACTACAGGGAGTTGGGAATCACTGGTGATTCAATTAGATGTGCACTTGATACTTTTATTTATATTGCCTGCCAAAACTAAAAATTAATGAAGCATGTAGGAAAACAACCACTATTTCTCTTCAAGCCTATTTTATGGCGCAAATCAATTCAGGAGTGGGGGGAATACATGCCAAACCTTTTTAATAAAGGACCCTGGCTCCTGAAAAGGGTGCTCTGTGTTATTGTCAGCTCGATTTTTTTGACTGCCTTAGAGCAATTCTGGCTTGCCGCATACAGGCTGCACAGTGCCCTTGTATTTCAGTCAAGGTCAAGGCTGACTACAGAGAAGAGCTTTGCAGAAAAAACAGACAAAGTAACTTGGTTGCTGACAATTTCTGCAGGCCCTCTGGTAAGGGTTTAAGGCAATGAGAAGATATCCTCCTTGGCCTTGCTGTGCTCCTTGCAAAAATGCACTGTTAAGAGACACTGCTGAGAGCCTTCCCTGTGTTAGAAGTGAAGCTCTTCACATGTCACAAGCCAGTCACAGCAGGCTCAGATCAGCGTGCAAATGGATGCTAGAAAACTGTACGAAGCGACTCTGGTAACTCAGTAGGTGATTGCTTCTCCTAGGGGTATGCAGTGAACCTATGTGGCACCATGTTGCTGGAAGCACCACTTAAAGAAAAGTTAAGAGACAAGGCCCAGAGCGCTTCCATAAAGGTTATTAACACCATGACACTCTTAAAAATGTTGAAGTCCTACTCAAATACAGAAGTACTTTTGTCTCTCTGAATTACCCCACAGATGGTTTTGAAGAAACGCCCACGTTTATTAGCAGCTCTTGTGTCCCACTCAGTTTATCTGCAATCTTTTCAGCAACGTCCGTGTTTTATCCCAGCAGCTGCTGGGATACGATATGCAGAGATTCAGAGGAGGGGTTATTGTAGGCAATGGAGTTCTTCTGTTTACTCAATTCATTTTAACTTTGTAAAGGCACTCAGTTTTCCAAGCACATGACTGCATTAACACTAATTATAATGGAAGCAAGGCATTCAAGAGCACCTACTACCTTCCCAGGTGTCCTTGTTGCAGCCCAGGAGCACAAGTCTCCTGAAGTCAACTGACTGCGGTATTTAAAAGCCGTCAGTTGCAACTAGACATCAAGCAATTCCAGGAGCTTTTCCTCCAAAACAAAGCAGCAGATTTGCATGCTCATTCATCTCTGCGGAGATGGGGCTTGAATTAGCTCAGATTTGCATTAGATGTGTATATACGTGCTCCTTGTATAGGTTAGAGAACACAAATAGCAAAGCTGCAGCCCAGGGAATGGCTGGGCTCTGTGACAGTGCATGATTTATTCCTGTCTCCCGTTTGCTTGCTTACTGTGTGCACAAAGGCAAAATGAATTGGATAAAGGAGATGATTAACTATTAAAACAAATAGATAACCAAAAAAAGCCCAAATAAGAATGACCCTTTTAATGGGCCACTTGATGCAGATGCTTGCATCCAAGCGCAAGGAAACTTAATTTTTAATTAAAATGTTTTGTAACAAAAATAGACACTTGATCTTTTCATTTCCCAGCCCCAATCACTCCTGGCAAGGTGAACCAGAATGACCTGGATTGCTGAGTCAAGTGGCCTCAACTCACACACAGATGATGTGTAAGGAAAGGAAAATGAATGGTATCAAATAAGTATCAAAGTAAAATTTGTGGGAGACATCCTTTATATTTACAGCAGTGTTTATGTAGCCAGTGGCATCCATAAATTATAGCAGTCATTAAGCTGTACCACGGCTGGCTTAGAGCCTTATAAATCATTATTTAAACAGCAACATTAAACAAATGGCATTTCAGGCTCTAAATTGAAAGGAGAAACAAACAACTCCTTGGGGAACAAGTGCTGACTTTGTATCTCACAGGTCCTGCTTCTCAACACAGTCCAGCCTTGGCAGTGTTTAAATCCAGTACCAGACCCCGGACACAAATGACAGCCTGGACTCTTGACTGCTCATCCTTTTGGACTTAAGTTTCCATGTAGCAGATCAGCATGAAAGGGGGAAATCATATGGCTTAGCCTAACGCAGGATAAGCAACTTCTTGCTCAGACTGTGGGGCCAAAGGGGATGTATTTCACTCCTCAGCAGATTTTTCTCCGACTTGGGTTGCCTCTTCTCTCCTCCCCGCTCCCTTGATCAGCAGAGAAATTGAAGTGCACTGGGAAGTTCTGGCATACCTGTCCCTGAGGAACGCGGCCAGAAAGACCATGATGTCTGACGAGTGCAAAATGGGAACCTTCACCTTACTGCCACTACAGCTGGCCAAGTGGGAGGGAAGACCGAAATTCTTACAGGCATTTCCAAAGATATCCCTTATCTTGTGAACGGGCTACGCTGCTAATTATCATGCTGGATTACTCAAGCTGAACTAATTATACCTTCACGTGTTACAGTCAACTTCTCAGCCCATAATTTTTAATGCTACCGAAAGCTTTAGGGACCAATAGTCAGGTAAAGCCCTCCCACTCAGCACACATTAAAACGAGAGAGCTTAATAGGACAGTACTCAGTTGTTGTTAAAAAAACCTGTGATTTCTACTCTGCCAAAAAAGATGAACAGAAATTTCAAAGACCTGGGATGAATGTTCACCCTCGTGCACGTTTTACCAAACAGCAGCTGCTCTCTGGGCTACCCCTGAGGAGTCCGGCTGGGACACAGCTGAATTGACTCCAACCGTTCTCGGGGCAAGACCCTGTTAGCATACACAGTGAAAAACATCCATTTTTAAATGCATGTATGTAGCAAGAAATACCTGCCCATGGAACTCCACCATGCTTACGTCACCATATGTGCTACCCCTCAAAGAAGAGAAACTTTCCTATTATTTAATTACACCTCTTCAATAATATTTTCTAATGGGCTAGTGCTGCAGTCTTAACGTTCCTTCACTAAACGCCACTAAAAATCATGGATTGTGCAACCTCGGACAATGCTTATCTGCCACAAGTATTTGTCATTAACTTCTCAATTTCATCTGCTCCTCCTTTGGTTTGAGTTCAAGGCCTTGACTCAGAGATATTTAAAGAGAGAGTACTTGGGGGATTTAAAGGTTGTGTGAAACAAAGAAAAGCTGCTGTCTAGGTATAAAAGGATAGTGAGAATTCTGAGGAGTTTCTGATTATTGATTTTTCTATGACTTTCCATTTCTGATGGGCACATCATTTCCTCACTCCTCATCTCCAACCCTCCAGCCTTATAGCAGCTCAGACATTTGAAGGCTGATGGCTTGCTTGGTGCTGAGGATAGCCATATACCAGAACAAAGTGAATTTTCTATTGATACAAGTCATTAATACCCCTACTTCCACCATTAGACAAGTCGGAAGGTATGAAATAAAGGAGGTAGGAAAGTGAAAGAAGACGAGTTCATGTTTAAGGGAACTGAAGCCATCCTTGGCAAATGGCCATTGAACTCCAATGTGATACAGGGCAGATCACATAAAACTTTCACAGCGAGCTACCTTGCCCTCGTTTTCCAGCCACCCACCCCAGCCACCCAGCCCAGGACACCTGTATTCAGATCTGCAGAGAATCCAAGTGGTCGCAGCTGCAAATGAGGCCAGTGAGAAAGATACTTGGAAAATACAATGTCCTCAAAAAATGCTTTGAAAAAAGATTGGACTCCAGGTTTTTCATACCAGGCA